GATTTTACAAAACTAGTTTCGAACAGCGTGAGTTGCTTTTCCTTGTGATAGCTCAACAGTTGCAGACAGGACGGTGAATTCTGAACCTTTGTTTTCTCCTTCGGTTATTTTAACATACTATGATCCTGTTGATGAAAGAGACACGTGCTTTAGTTTTATGAAAGCAATGAGTACGTTGAGCACAGAACGAATAAGGTTATTTTTTAATAAGACCACTGGAAAACGATACGCATGCTGTCATTCCTTGTCTTGGCTTATAACTAGAATATCTAAGTACATGTGTACCAGTTTTCATTGTTATCAAGAGCAATATGTCATTTTCGTTCTCTGATATTTTTCAATATTTTTCGAAGTAGAAAACATTATTGTAACTTGCTCATTGCATAATCTCACTTACCTGAACATCCATACCAACGTTATCACAGCGAGGACGGCGAAACTTGGAGAATGAAGGGAACAGGCTGTCGATTAAATGGTAAAATTGAAACTATGAACACAACTGGAAAAAATGTATCTTTTTGTGGATTGAATTTAGGAGTTAGCCAGCGAGCAAGTTCTCCATTTGGAGATATATCGTGAGTCAACAATCAAACAGCACGCAAAAGGAGACATGAGCGTCAGGGGGTAGGAAGGAAAATCTTTACCGCTCCCTCGCGTGTTCTCTTACGGATCGCTTCACCCATCACCACTACTTGAAATGAAACGATTATTCGCAGGCTAAGATCGGGTAGGTAAGGCTGTTATTTAGCAACGTCGGTGATGATGAGCATACTCCAAATTAAAAGGGCTGGTTACCATTCGCAAACGTATAGAAAAAGAGAAGAGGCACCACAGAATAAAACGAAGAAAAGTTTTTAACGTGGAACTCTCCCGCCGTTGAACTGCCAAACCAAATCTTTTAAAATGATTAATCCGCGCAACTTAACCGCGTTGAAAGTGTAACTTCTCAGTGGTTTAAAAGCACGCATTATGGTGTGCTCACACATTTATTTGTTTATATTTGTGGTTGTTTCAAGGGTCATTATAAGAGTCTTTTAGTTAAACGTAAGTACGGTTTGTTCTTTAGCGTAGCTTTCGCAAATACAGGAGCCTGAAATTATAGTAAAAGTTCTTCTCTTCCTTTAACCTTAAATTTTATAATATTTTTAGCCTTGATTCAGTTGCTTAAAAAGGTTATCACCCTATTGCTAAAAGAAAGAAAAGTCCACGCCCCACTACAAAATAAACTCATGCACTTCTTCATAAATGTATCCGTTTGGGGTAGCCAAAGTTATTCTAAAGCCATAGTCAAAAAACAGCAGCAAATGGTGTCAAATACATGCTTTGTGTAAGACGGTCACCTTTGTTACATTGACAAGTGCCTTTCTCTTCACCAGGGCAGTGCCCATCCTCTTCTTTTTCTTCGGGTGAAAATCCTTGACATTCGCTAGACGGACTGCAGTTCTGTATGAGTTTAATAGGGCCTCCAGGCCCGTCGCAGCATACGTTTTGGCATTGCCCATCTACGGGCTCGTATACCACAGTTCTACCTTAAAGAAACAAACAAGCATACAAACATGATTATAAGTGTCTGCTGTATTACGCTTGAGGCTACTCCGCTACAGAAAAACACTGATGTAGGTGCTCCCTTGAAAGGCATCATAATCTCGTTTTATGGGAGGGGCCAAGAGTTAATAATGATTCTGAAAAACAAATTAACTGGTATTGGCGATAAAGACCGTGATTCAGTGAACAGTAACACATAACTTCTTTCATTTCTTGGTTTAATACCCTAAATGCTAGGAAAAGATACCGCAATATCATAAGGGGTTGACAAGCCTGACTCACGCCTTCCACTCACGTGTTTATAGCTTTTAATTCTCAGAGTTTAGCTTTTACGGGTATATCCTTCAGAGACCTTCCTCGTTTGTACGATATAATTGGAGGTTCTTCGTAGATCTGTCTAAGAATTGTTTGGTTCGCTATCAGTTGGCAGTGTTTCATAAGAATGTTTTTAAGACTAGGAACTGATGGTTGATATTGGGTGACAAAGGGCAAAATGGTTTTTCCTCTTGAAAGTTTTTGTTGGAGTGCCTCTTTCCTGTTTTAAAAGTGTATTTTAGAGTGAGTTAGAGTTATTAAATTCTGTGGATATCCCTTCTCTCTAAGGTGCTTTTGAAATTTTTCTAGTCATTTTTGAAAGTTTTCTTTTGAGGCATTTGTTCTTGTAGCCGCAGGGCTTCGCCTTTTATAAAGCCTTTCTTAACCCCTCCCTAATGGGTG